GCAAGAGAAATTGCTCAAAGACGCTCACAGCAAAGGGTTGCATTTGCGATCGACACGTTGCGATGAAATTGATTTGGTAAAGGCGACCTACTGCCCAAGGCGAGTTGCTTGTGAGTGAATCAACATTTGTTGTGGATATACTTGACCTGAAGAGGGCAAAGTCTGGCGGGCGTTTGCTGTGAAGATCAGGTCAGTACAAGAGATTGACGTGGACCTGTGTCAGTACCTGCTTCAACATGACTGAATCATGCCTTCCAAGCTGAAAAATACAGGTTCAGTTCCAGGAACCAGCTTCCCAGAAGATTGCAGGTGTTGTTTCTGCAACCTGCATGTTTATGACGTTTGAGAAAGCCCAAGTTGCAGCTGCCAACACACGACGTGCATCCTTTGAAGTTGAAGCTTCAAAAAGATCAACTGACTAGATATTTAGCTTCCCTGATAATTTCTCAGATTGGGGATCAGTCGAAGACGCCGCATGTTTCAGAGAAAGTTGTTGCGATGAGTGTTCACTTTCAGGCAAAGTCAAGAGAGGATTCGGAATTTGAATTTCATCAAACACCTCTAGACTTTGGTTGGATCCAATCTGGTCGTGGATGGATGAAAAAGAAGGAAAAAGGCGTTGACCAAGCCATGTCGCAGTCACCCACCTTGCATGGAACGAGATCGATAGATGCTGAATGCTCACCATTGAAGGCTGATGAATACGCGAAGGAAGGAAAGGATGGCCTTTGCTGTGCCCTTGTGTGTCCATGCCTTGGTGTATAACAAGCACGGTGAGAGGTCTATGTCAAGGGCAAAATAAGGCCCTTCCGTATTCATCTCAAGAGCTTCCAGATGCTTGGCGTTCTGAAAACTTTTTGAACGCCCAGGCCGGGTCGCCGCAGGCCATGTGCTTTACAATGATGAGGCATCGGGGTCACATCTTGGTCCGATCACCGAGTTTCGGTGTCACATCATGCCGTGGACGTCACATGTCATGTGGACTGACGAATGTGAACAGCATGATGTGCAGATCAAACCGACAGGTCACACCGGATGCAGAGAAGCCGTGGCCCCAAACCCCATCGGTTGAACTTGAGGTGAACATGTTACAGCTCCTTGCAACACTGAATTATTGGGTTTGAGCCAGTTTTAGATGTTTGAGGAAGCAAAACTCATTATGTGCGTAGAAGTTTCAAGCATACTCAAGTTTTACCATTGCACACCGCAGGTCGCATTGAGGTTCAAGAAAGGACCGTTTTCGCATGGTAGCGGAGCCAAGGATCCCGGAAGGGTGAGGCTCAGGTTTGCGATGCCATGGCTGGTGTGGAGGGCTCTCCGATGATGAGCCCAGCTGGAAGCCATACGGGAGCCGCAGGCCAGCAGATAGATGGAGCAGAATTGGCGAGGAGAATGATGGAGCGGACAATTGGTCGGTGACAATTGGTTGGTGGCACTTGGTTGGTGACAGTTGCTTGGCGGCAACTGGTTGGTGACAATTGGTTGGTGGCAGTTGGTTGGTGGCGGCAACTGGTGGGTGACAATTGGTTGGTGGCAAATGGTTGGTGGCAAGAGCGAGGAGGAGGAAGGAGAAGGAGGAGCGGATACCACACTAAAAACAGAAACCCCACACGTCAATGTGGTGAAAAATATTTCGAGTGTGAACTACAACTGAGCCCAATGCATGTAGACAAGGTCTTGGTGAATGGAGTAGAGTTGACGCAAGCTTCTACTTCAGCAACTTTGAGGGCAGCGTGTTCATTTCTCGGTTTCTCAGGCAGTGGCTCCAAAGTGAAGGTCTACACTAAGATCCTCAATCGCAACAAGAGACTGAAACTCTTGAATGCCAAAAGCTTGGGGGGAGTGAAGCAAAAGCTCCAGAGACAAGAGGAGCAGTAGGATAAAGTGTGGCAAAGATGCCAGATGAAGCCACTCAAGCCAATTGTGTAAGGAGTGCATTGGGCACCGAGCACGCCCAGATCGCCGTGAGAGAACAGATGGAGTGAAAAGAGGGAGTATTCCTGAGGTAAGCTTTGACTTTTGCTAGACTAGAACAAGGGACTCAGAAACAACGTCAGCAAGAGCAGTATGTTGGCTAGTTGCAAGTGACAGCCAAACTGGATACATTCATGTTGTGCCATCAGGGAGCAAGAACCCACTTGGCCTCATTGCGCAGGAGTGGATGAATTTGAGTCAATTGTTGGGATTTTCAGCAACCACCTATAGGAGTGGCAACGAACCCACAACGCGACAAATTCTCAAGATGCTGACCAATGCTCGACGCGGCCTAGGGTTGACTACAAGACTAGTTTGGAGACCAACCTATTTCTGTCAGAGAACACAGTTCACTGTTGACAGGGTGAGAAAGCTTGCAGGAAGTTTCATTGAAGTGTGCAGTCAAGACTTGGCATCAAGATTGGGTCAGATCATGCATTTTGGGCTTGGCCTATGAGCTCGTCTATGGCAAGAGTTACAAAGAACTTTTTGCAGAACAAAGCGAACCAGCTCATGGTTACATCAGGAGTCTTAACAAAGGAGAAGCCAGATGGTGCCTACGCATGCTCTTGGGAAAAGTGGAAAAGCAGACACTCACGCGCTGACCGATGGTGCGCAGGTAGTGCTGAGTAAGTGCGTCAGGAGAACTGATCTGGATTGGTTCAAATATGCGCCAATCTACAAAAGCTTCAATGCCTACTCATGGGAGTACCAGACAAACTTTGGAGGCAGAATATTGCCAGAAAGAGAAGGGCA